GCCGCCCGCGGACCAGCCGGCCATGGCGACGCGTGCGGTGTCGATGGGGAGGGTGCCGTCCGAGAGGATGCAGCCGATCAGCGCTTCGAGGTCGTGGATGGCGGTGGGGAAGGGGCCGGTGGGGGCTTTGGTGTAGTCGAGGGCGATGACGAGGAAGCGGTGCCGTTGCCAAAGGATCTAAGCGTGATGCATAGCTCATGCCGATCAACAAGAGTGAGTACGAAGTAGTGCCGCGAGTTGCCCGATGGGCTAAGCCTCGTGTGTACGCTAATATGTTGAGGCCACGCATGATGCTGGTTTCATGGCTGGGGTACATGTGGATCTTCTGTGCCGGAGGGTTCCCCATGGGGTAAGCCACTCGTACCCCTTGTCCTGTAGGGCCGTCGGCAGCGGAGTCTGCCGTTTGACTACAGAGGGGGTCAAGGTCAAATGCTTGCCCAAATTACATATGATCGGTCCGAGAAGTGTGAGCTATGGATGGATCATGGCGTCCAACTTATGTACCAAATGCATCTGGCCCTACGCCCCCGGCGGGATTACAAGTGATCGGTCCGACGTCAATCCATGTTAGTGACTGGTGTGTCTGCCGATATGGAAATAGATCTGCAAGAAAATGAGAGAGTCTGGGGAATAGCTAGTTAGCTACCACCCTGGATTGGACGAGGCGAAGCTCATGCAATACCCATACCCTAAGTTCTCCGTCCGGTAACTCCACCGACAAACTGCCTGCGTACTGGCGGAGTTCAGTATGAGGAAGAACTCCGACACCCCTGCCCGTGGTAATTCCGTGGGGTAGCCAAGGGACGGAGATCGACATGCTGGGGGACCTGGGTGCCTTGCGGGGTACATGCGAGCGTTCTTCCCCTGGCGCCCTATGTTCGATGGAGGGAACCGCCTCTTAGGGATCTACTAGTCTTTGCAGATTTGATGGCAGTACTACGGAGAGACTCGTCGTGGTATACGTGTATTCCCTTCCGGCATTGCTACGTACAGGAATTCGTCCGGGGGAAGGACATCTCTGCCGATGGTACTGATGTCATGTCTCGAAGAGATCGGCCGCTGTTCGGCCATATTTGCAAAGGCAAGAGGGCAGGGTTTAATTTTCAAGATACTAGAAACATAGTTTAGAGAGGTGCCGGGCCTTGTATAAATATATCTTAGGGGGTGGCCGTCAACGACCATCTTCTTTCTAGTCAGCATCTCATTCTCCACGCCGCCTCCGTTCACTTTACCACGCTCTTTCTCATTCTACTCGACGGCACGAGCAATCGCCCGCCTGCAATTATGAAGCAATTCACTGCCCTCTCCCTCATCTCCCTCGCTACTGCGGTGAAAGGGCATGGGTACATGGTCAGCCCTGCCAGCCGAACTCGTCAAGGATTCGAGGTATGCCACACTTTCACTCCATGTCCCGGTTCCGAAGCTAACACCCTTCACAGGACGGCACTGACACCTGTCCCGAGTGCACCATTCTGGAACCCGTCCAATCGTGGCCCGACCTCGACGCCGCCACCGTCGGCCGTAGCGGGCCCTGCGGCTACAACGCCCGCGTGAGCGTCGACTACAACCAGCCCGGCAAGGCCTGGGGCAACGAAGTCGTCGAGACCTACGCGGCCGGCGACGTCATCACGGTCCAGTGGTGCGTCGACCACAACGGCGACCACGGCGGCATGTTCACCTACCGCATCTGCCAGGACCAGGCCCTCGTCGACAAGTTCACCGACCCCTCGTACCTCCCTACCGAGGCCGAGAAGCAGGCGGCCGAGGACTGCTTCAACGAGGGCGTCCTGAGCTGCGGTGATGTCGACGGGCAGGACTGCTCGTACAGCCCGGACTGCTCCGAGGGCGCTGCGTGCTGGCGCAACGACTGGTTCACGTGCGAGAAGTTCGGAGAGGGGAGTTGCAAGGGCGTTGACGGTGCGGCCCTCAACTCGTGCGCGACCACCATTGCGGGCGGATACACGGTCACGAAGCAGGTCAAGCTGCCTGACTACTCGTCCAAGCACACGCTGCTATCCTTCAAGTGGAACTCGTTCCAGACGGGCCAGATCTACTTGTCCTGCGCAGACATTGCCATCACCGGCGGTTCCGGCGGAGGTGCCTCGTCGAATTCCACTCGCTAGTTGGTTCACTTAGTTGGTCCCCTACGGGTTCCAGTCCCGGGTCTTTCTCCCAAGGGATCTGTGGCGCTGGGGCGGAGTAGATCTTCCTTGAGGTTGGCTGGATTGGGGGAGTGGATGGGTTGGACAAAGCCGATATGATGTACACCGGATGAGTAGGTTGTTTCTGCCTTTCAGGGGTAATGAACATTGATATGGGAATTGCTGCGCAACCTGTTAAAATAAATATGTGGATTTGATACTCTTTACCAACGCCACTACAAAACGATTTCTTGTTCATTCTATGGCTGGCGTGCTATTTCCGCCCCAAGACACAATGGAATATGTGCCTGCTCAGAATGGAAAAAGACAACGGACCTGCCATACTAGGGCTTCATGTTGTTATTTGGAAGTTGCGGTGATGTTGCCGCTCTTCCCCGGATTAGAATGCGGCAGTGCCCGGTTCTTCAGTTTCATCTTACCATTACTAGGTATGTTTTACTACCATACATGCCTTTCTTCCACGTTGCCCTGTACAGTTATCTTGACGTATATCTAACAAATCAACCGCCCGCGCATACAACCTCCCTCGCATTTAGCAACCATGTGCTTCGTCCCCGTGATCCGCTACGCGTGTTGCGGGAGCATCATGTACGCCCTCACAGGACTTCCCATCATCAGGCCTTGCCGGGCTGCAATAATGAACGGAACCATCAACCGCCTCCGAGACGATTCCGGATGGACGGGGTGCTTGGAGCGCCATTTCGAAGACACGGACTCTCCAACGGCTTTGAAGTTATGGTTCCCGCTCTTATGCCACCAATGCCGAGCCGCTCAGAGGTTCGACGTGGTGCGGAATAACGCCCGGAAGTGCTCCGAATTCGTGGAAGAAGCCTTGCTCAGGATGGAGGACCGCCGCATCGACATACCGTCGGCAATAAAAGCGGCCTACATGGACGTGATTCTCCTTCTTCCCGAGGTGGGCGCCTACGCCCGGCTGTCGGTGAACGGTCAGAACGCCGAAGCCGAGAGGACACAGGACTATGCGAGGGCGGTGACGGCGTACAAGAGATACCTGATCGCAATCGGGTCGCTTTGTCGGATCCAATGACTGCTTGGGAGTCCCCTCCCGCCGGATGTGATGGAGAATCCCGCTCCGTCTAGAGTCCTTTGGGATCCCGCACAATTGGAGGAGCTGTGGAAACTCGCCCGACTGGAGGTACCGGATGCGATCTGCGACCCATGGAATGGCACACACGTACCGGAGGGAAGCACTGCCGTTCAGCAGAGCACAGGTCCTTCGGGAAGCCTCCAGCCGGAGGATATTGGGTACCCATGGGAGGACATGCTGAGGGTGGAGGGAACTGCACTAGAGGGAGCCGTACCGGAGGGAGCAGCACCGGAGGGAAACACTGCCGTTCAGCCGAGCACAGGTTCTCCGGGAGGCGCTAACCCTTTTTTGAGCGAAGATCCCCATGGACGTGTTCCCCCATTTCGGCAGCGCGGGCGTTCTTCTTAATGTCAAGAGTTGGGCGAGTTCACTCCCTCTTGTTTACCGCCGCGAGCCCAACACCGTGGAGTACTTACACAGCGACTTGGATCAGCGGAACACACATACGAGCAAGAGGAGGAAGTTGGAGCGCTCTGATTCGGGATGAGTTAACCTGGAATGATTTAAGGAGACAGCGTCACAAACAGCCTTTCGATCATTGAATCACTTAAAGGTTTTTCGAGACCCAGCGCTTTGTGACCACGTAATCGAATACCACGCCCAACGCCATGCCAGCCTCTTCTGCCCTGTCATAACCTCATACTTTACGTTTCGTATCCTCATATACCGCACCCACAGCATCACTCGCTCCAGACCAACACGCGCCACCTCCAACCCTGCAGCATCTTGACGTCGTCCTCGCTCAGCTCCTCACGACCCCCCTCCACCTTAGCCATGAGGCGGTTCAGCCGCTTCGACACCGTCTTGGCCACGCGCAGAGAGACCTCGTTCGTAAACACATACAGCACGGCAAACACGAAGAAGGCGATGGTTCCCAGGCCCGGGCGGTGGGTGGCGGCCAGGATGCGCGAGACCAGGTTCTTGCTCTTCTTGAAGGCGTACTCGGTCCGGTTGGACGACTCGTCTCCGTCCTCGTGCTCGCCTCTGCGGCGGCGGAAGAGCCGCTTGACGAGGGGGAGGAAGGAGGCGCTGGTGGGGAGGGGCGTGGTTAGCACGAGTCGGGTTGGTCAGGTCAGGTCAGGTGAAGTCATTCCCTTCCACCGCACACGAAAGGCTCACCCAGCCCTCCTCCAAAAGGAGAATCACCACCTACAGCAAGGGAAGGGACAACAACAAGGACAGAAAAGAAAACGAAAACCACTTACACAATCCCCCCCACCGCAAACCGCCGCCACCTCTCCCCCTCCGCCTTGCCCACCACGGCCTCCACCCGCGCCTGCAACCCCCTCAACCCCATCAACACCAGCCCCGTCTGCAAACGCCGCCGAGTCTCCACCTCCGCCGCCGCCGGGTCCACCTTCCCATGCCCATTCACCATCCCAGTCCCAACCCCATTCACACCCATCACCCCAACACCACCCCCAGTTCCACTCCCAACCCCATTCACCGTCGCCATCCCCACGCCGACGCCGTTGATGCCCAGGCCGGTGCCCCCGCCGCCAACACCGCCGCCGCTGCTGCCGTTGACAGTGGTGAGCATGGCCTGCTGGCGGCGCACGGCGAGGAGTTCGCGGAGGGCGGTTTCGGCGGTGTCGCGGCTGGATTTGAGTGTGGGGGGATTGCTGGTGTTATTATTGTTGTTGTTGGTGGTGGTGGCGGTGGTGGTGGTGGCAGGAGGGTTCTGGAGGGTGTTGGTGGCGGTGGTGGTGATTGGGGGGGCTGCTGGTGGTTGTTGGGGTGCTGCCGCTCCTGGTGGTGGTGCGGCTGATGCGGGTGCTGCTGTTGCTGCCGTTGTGGGGAGTGGGTAGGTGTTGGGCTGGTTGTAGTCGTAACCGTAGCCGTAACCATCGCCATAGCCATAGCCTTGGTTGGTGGGGGGGTAGTTGGAGGTGGGGGCTGGGTAGTAGGGCTGGGTGGGGGCGATGGGCTCGAACTTGGGGTCCGGCCCGGACATGGGTCGCGGGGAGACGTGGGAGAGGTCTTGGAAGGGGTTGTGATACAGGGTTGGGGAGCCGGCGGTGTAGTTGGCCGCTGGTGCTGGCGGGGGCTGCGAGTGTGGGTACGAGGCAGGAGGGGGCTCTGAGGCCGGGTGAGCCCGGACCGGCGCGGAGGTGGTTTCTGGGACGTCGGGACGGGGCCGGTAGGGGAGAGTCGAAGAGCGGGGAGGACGGTCAGACAGGTCCTCCTCGGTGTACAATGGCCGACGGGAATTAGAAGTTACGGGTTCGGGCTTGGGGTCATTATATCGGTCAATGGTGAGATCCGAAACCCGAGGTCCAGGTGGACTCGGCAGTCGGTTGGTCTCATAACGGTCAACAGCGGGCCTATCCGATTGATCAACTTGGGGACGAGACTGAGATTGAGATTGGGAATCAGATCGAAGACGAGGTCGAGATTGGCGGGGGGAATCCATGGTGTTGTGCTGGTGGTGTGGCTTGGTGCCGTGGTGCTGCTAAGGCGAGGGCGAAAAATAATACGATCGGTCACTGTGAAGGGGACAATTCTAGATGCGCTTTTTTACGAGATGGCGATTTGTGTCAAGCAAAGAGGTTGCTTTTGATGCCAACATCAGACGAACGTCATGTTGGGTTGAACGGATGAAGTGGGGATCGGGGGACAACAGCCGACAGAGCATGTGGCAATTGATTTGTGGGGCCAGACAGACCATCATTGAATTCCCACTTTTCCCAATCCATCGAACGGTGCCGTTGGCACTCTACGGTGCGTTGCAGGGGTTTGCACTAACAATTTGATAGAGCGTAAACGTAAATTTAATGCGGTCCTTAACATTAGCACAGTGCATTCTGCTAGTTACAGGTTTTTTTATTGGCGCACAATTTCTGCAGGCATTTTGCCTCTGTCAAACAATGGGCCGCGCCCTACATAAATGGCAAGATGCTTCGCGCTTTACACCGAGATCCGTCTCAGCTCGGTCGTGCTTTGAGAAACCGTGGATTCCAACAGCTTCAAAGCAGCAACCCTGGCCCGCTGCACCTGCGAGATTTCATTGCCCAGTTGAGCAAAACTCCCCAAGCTGCTGCCTTGGCGCCAATCACACGCAGGGAGTCATGCGAAGAGGATTCGTCATCATTTGAGTCACTTCTGCCTAGAAAACGGTGGTGAGGGACGTCATTTATTGTAGTAGCCAATCAAGCCCGGGGAGCCATCCCAAGGCTGACACACCCCGCAGCGCGGACATGGAGGCAGCCAAAGTTCGGTCCCGCGCGATGCATCGCACAATTAGGTAAGTGAAGTTGAAGTAACTATAAGTACCTTACCTGCCAGATGCCTGGACCCCAACTCTTCTTCGTTCTATTCTTCGGTGATTCATTCCAATCGCAATTGATTTTTCAACCACCAATCCCATCGTGACTTTCGAAGAGAATCAAGCATCAAACAAGTCGCATCAGTGATCACACCACCTCACCTGCACGCTACCCACCGTCGCAGACTCGAAGATGGACGGTCCCTACAAGCAGGACTTCCATGTCCGAAACCTGCCCACCCGGTCCGTCACTCTTTTCCCGACACGGGCCCAAATCGTTCGCGAAATCAAACAAGTCAGCCTCAAGGTATGCTCTTCCGGATCCCATGGTAAAAACCCGTACTAACAAACATTCAGCCCGGTTCCAATGAGATCACCGTCGTTGGTGTGACCCCGACTGCTGATGAGCATTCCATCAAGGTCGAGGGCACCGGCTCGGCTACCATCACCGACATTTCTGTTGAGTTGCTGCCAAATCGGGACATTTTTCAAGAGATCTATCCCGACTCCGATTCTGAGCAGGATGAGGATGAATCCGAGGAAGACGATGACGACCAAGAGAAGGCCAACGTCGCCATCGAGGAGGTGCGCGAGAAGTTGGCAGCCCTAAAAGACGAACAAAAGGCCGCCAAGGAGATCATCGCCAGCGCTGAGAGCCGTCTGAAGATCATCGACTCGTACAGCAACTCGCTCCACCCTAGGGACGGGGTCGACATCGAGGCCAGCGTGGAGACCTACCGCAAGGAGCGCGAGAAGGTGTTTCGGGACCACGTGGATGGCACAGCTCGCGAACGCGCCGTGGCAAAGGAAATAGCCACTTTGCAGCGCGAAGCGACCCGTCTCGATAAGCTCCAGGCGAAGGAAAAGAAGAAAGCTGCCAAAGAGAAGGCCAAGATCTGGAAGGCCAAGGAGAAGTTGAGGGAGAAGCAGCGCCGCCGTGACGACGAGCAGAAGAAGGAAAAGCTTCGTATTCGGAAGGAGCGCGAGCAGTTCTGGCCGCGCTCTTGCTACAGCGTCCGTATCACCCTCGATGCCGGCGCCAACTTCACCCCCGGCTCGTCCCGGCGTAGCTCCATCGCCAGCGCTGCCGACGTGCAGGTCGCCTCCAAGTACCCCAAGGACGATGAGGCCAGCATGATTTGCGACTTGACAATCTCGTACGTCACGTCGTCCGCGTTCTGGGCCCCCAGCTACGACCTGTCGTTATCATCCACGACCAACACGGCCACGCTCAGCTTCGACGCGCGCCTCACCAACATGACGTCCGAGACCTGGGCCAACAGCAAGGTGACGCTCAGCACGTCGCAAGCCAATTTCTCAGGTCTTCAGGACGACACCCCGACGCTCGTACCTTGGCGCCTAAAAGTCGTCGGCAAGGGCGGCCCCTGGGACGGACAAGACATTGCCCACAGCCATGAGGAACGGAATGAGAAGAATGTCTGGAACGCCCAGCAAAATGCCATGGTGGCCCAGAGGCCACGCGCTGGTCTTTTCGGGTTGGGCCAGGCACAGCCAATGCAACAGCAAATGCAGCAGCAAATGCAGCAGTTGAACCACGTCATGGCCTCACACAAGGCCCCTGTCCCTCCGCAAGCCCAAAATGTGGATTTCGGCATGAGGACCTTCTTCGCGTCGGGCTCTAACGCCAACGCCATATCCAATACCGTGGCCCATACTGACAACATCCAGACTGAATCCGCCTTTGGCAGAGCAGCGCCTCAGTCAAGACCTGCCCCTGCCGCTAGTCTCTTCGGCGGAGCAGCGCGTCAAGTAGGACCCGCCGCTACCGGCGGTCTCTTCGGCGGAGCAGCGCCTCGATCAACCGGATTCGCCCAGCCGTCCACCGTCAACCCCACGGCATTCGGCCGCAGCCAAACGGAGGAAGTCTCCACCGCCAACGAGGAGTACTCCGCTCCGGGGGCCAACAATCCGGACGACTTTGACGCGCAAACCATGCTCGAGCCCATCCCGGAGCTCACCTTCCAGGACTCCTCCTTCGAAGAAACCGGCCTCACCGCCACCTACGACCTGCCGCACACCAAGACCCTCAAACCCTCCCCGACCCCCTCCAAACAACGCGTCGCGCGCGTCTCCTTCACCAACGTCACCTTCTCCCGCACCGTCGTCGCCAAGTACAAGCCCGCCGCCTACCTGCGCGCGCGCCTGCGCAACACCAGCAAACTCACCCTCCTCCGCGGCCCCACGGGGCTCACCCTCGACGGCACCTTCCTGGGCCGCTCGACCCTCCCGCGCTGCAGCGCCGGCGACGGCTTCCACGTGCCGCTCGGCGTCGACCCGGCCATCCGCGTCTCGTACCCCAAGCCCGACGTCGCGCGCAGCACCACGGGCGTCTTCACCAAGGGCGAGAACAGCGTGTACACGCGCACCGTCACCCTGGTCAACACGCGCGCGGCCGCCGGCAAGGCGGTCGGCGTGACTGTGTTGGATCAGGTGCCCGTGCCGGAGGATGAGAAGATTCGCGTGGATGTGCTGCAGCCGGCGGGGTTGGGTGCCAGTGGCGGCGGGAAGGTGGTGGCGGCGGGAATGCCGGGGAGGGAGGGGAAGGAGGAGTTGGATTGGGGGAAGGCGACGGCTAGTTTGAAGAAGGCGGGCGAGGTGCAGTGGGAGGTTTCGTTGAATGCGGGGAGGAGTGTCAAGTTGGTGTTGCAGTATGAGGTTGCGTTTCCGACGGGGGAGAGGGTTGCGCAGGTTTATTAGGGGTGATGGGTAGTGGGATTGGTTGGGGTCTGGTAGCGAGGATTTTCGTGTGGGCAGATTGTGTGCACGAGCGGTGTGGTGTAATTTAGGTAGCGCAGATGGCTCCGGCTTTGACTGGAATTCGCAATCAATTGTGGATAAACCAGAGTGTTCCCTGCATCGTAGTGAGTTTAATGATATATTCGAAATTTTGAATGATGTCTGGTGGCTGTGGTGGTTGTCCGAGTTGACAATCCTGGTTAGCCTCTAGCGTAATGGTTCATGATGGACCCCAGGAACGCTTCAATACAAGTTGTAAGCAATACCCAAAACGTTCGCTGTATTTATGGTAGCTGTACCGCTACCACAAGGCAGTGGAAGAGAAAAAAATTGATTAAGACATTGATCACGAGCCAGAGGGAAACTTTTAAGTAGAATGAATTATTAAATATTACTATCCCAAACCCTGGGCAATTCATTCTAGAATTCCTTGATCCTTAAAACTCAATGAACTCGGAAGCAGATGGAGCAGATGAAGCTAGAAAATTCAATGAATTCAATGCTCAGGGCCCAACCAGGCTACGCTATGCTTCTAAAATGCACGCTTGTGTCTGCCCCAATGAAGTTTGCCGGTGCCTACCGAGGAACTCCGAAATCTACCATGCCATGCTATGATGCCAAACGCCATGAAACCTGTTGGAAAATGACATTCAGATGGAAAGATGGGGAGAAAGAATCGATCGATCTTCTTCCACCGCTTCTCAGAGTTCTTTAGAGCAAGTGGCTTCATCCTATTAAATCTTTCCTTTGTCTTCTTGAGTTAACCCGAGTCTTTGTGCTGCCAAAATTCTATGAAACTGTTTCCGGGTGTCATGACCGTTTCCGGTTCGATGTCTGTTTCCGGTACCATGGCTGTTCAACAGCTGGTATCCGCCAGAAAGTCCTATGTGGTTAATCCAACAAAACCCAAAGATCTCCGTGCCAGAGGTGCCCCGTGTTTACCAACTTGAAGCGTCCCATATGGGGGTTGAGTAAATCTCGCCTCCACGGAGTTGAGGGTGAAATCCAACGACCTTGTATTTAGTCTGACCACCACTGTCCTCCTCACCATTGGCCCTCGCATTCTCGGTCTCGGTCTCCTCACTCTCGGTCTCCTCGCCTTCCTCGCTGTCGACTTCCTCGTTATCGGTCTCCTCGCCCAGACCGCAGCTGTTCTCCTTGCTGCCGATCCCCAGTCTCTCAGCCTCCTCGTCTTGACCGCTGTTGTCCTCCTCACTCTCATCCTCCCCCACTTGCAGGCCCAAAAGCTTATCTCTCATCTCCTCCATCGACTTGCTCGACTTGTAGATTTTGTCAATCCACTCTTCCCTCTCCTTAAGTGACTCGATTGGCCTGGCCTTGCTGGTCTCTCCCTCGGGCCTGGCCTCTGAGTCAGGTTCGATGCACATCTTTTGCTTCTCCTTAAGTCGCTGACGTTTCGCCCGAGCGGCCTCGTCATTTTCCTCGGCCTCTTCCATCTGGTTCGGCGGCTGGATTTCTGTGCGGGAGCTGTCCCACTTCTTGATGCCTAGGCTGGCGGAGAATTCGAGGCTACGGAGATGCTTGAAAAAAAGCTCGTCGGACTTTTTATTGAGCTCGTAATGCGCGTGCCGCACTTGGGCGTCAATGTGGGGGAACTGGGAGAGGTGGAAAACGTAGCCCTCCGAGATGATCTTGTTGCCCGCCTGGTCGTGCCACTCCGAAGTTTCGACCTTGTAACCGAGTTGGTTGTCGACCTCGGTCTCGGGACCGACCTGTGCGAAGAGCGAGACCCATTGTTGGGGGGCGTCGCGGGGAAGGAAGGCCCCGGGTTCCAAGAATAGGACGAAGTCCCCCGGGGAGAAGTGGCGGTTCTTGTCAGTCACCACCTCCAGCCGTCAATCGTCAAGATGCGCAAGTCGTTGGCTAGCACATCCACGCGATTGATGTAGCGGACGGTGGCCAGCGAGCAGGTGGAGCTGGGTTCGGGTTTGAGGCCTGGCTGAGGGTCCGTTGGTGGTGAGCCGCAAGAAGAACTCGCCTGGTTGAGTGTTTTGGGCGAGCTCACGGCCTGGGAGGAGTCGGCGATCGCATCCTCGAGCCAACGGCACAACTCGTCAGAACCCATGGCTAGAAGAATGAAGACGATGGGCTGATTGGTTGTTTGGAAGAAGAAAAGTTATCATAAAAAAGAATTATGATGGAGCAGAAGAGGAAAAGAAGGGGGAAAAGGGGGGGCTGGGCAAGACTATATAGACCACCAATTTTCGCCACTGCTGAGTGCTGATTCAAAAAATTGGTGCCGAATATTCGAATCACTTGTGGCCAGTGAATAAATGGGCAAGCCAATCAGCAAGGCAACATCCATCTAAGTGGCAATTAGGCGAAAGCAGCCTCACTCTAGATGTGCCATGATTGATGTGCATGTCAGGCAGACAGATGTGAGGTGTCCGCATCTTCCGCCTCGGTACCTATTCAAACTATAGCACTAACAATAAGAATCCTGTCACAATATGATCGTCGGTACCGGTCGCGCCGTTTTTAATTAAGCCACGGCGTCAGCAACCTCCATCGTCGATGTGGCACGCGTCTCGCTGCTCTTCTCCTTGCTCCCTCGCAAAACTGCGGAAGCATCGAAAACTTCCATCGTCGATGTGGCACAGGCCTCATTACTCTTCTTCTTGCTCCGTGGCAAAAACCAGGGAGGCATCGTCAACTTCCATCGTCGAGCTGGTACGGGCCTCGCTGCCCTTCTGAACCTCGTTGCGCCCAGGCAAAGACCTGGGGGCGTGGGCAGAGGGGCGAAGCAGGGCAGAGGTTTTTAAGTGTCAATTTGAGAATTCCACCTATGGTTACCCCATGCTCGATGCTCCAGCCTCCACCTCCAACGTTCAGCAGGCAATCTGCCGCCAGCAAGTTGTTCCTGGCACTACATACCCGAACAGGAACCAGGCATACCATCTGCGTAAATAACCAATGTAATCACGACTCGAGCTGTGTGACCGATGTCGATGGTCCATAGTCATTGGATGCGGCTGGACTGGAGACTGGCAGATGGACCATGCGAACAAGGATTTAAGCTTCAAGAATCATCAAGTAAACTGCCAATCATTATGACCGTTTGCCATTTCATGATAATACATGCCCATTCCATGCCCATTCCATAATGGGCATGCCAGGTATTATTCTGTAAAAAATACCAATTGGTTCCCAAAACCTCGGGAGTTGGGACTAATAAACCCTGCATATTGACACGAATGAAGTCAACAAAGAGTTCACGCACGGGCCATGGTCACTTCAGAAAGGCAGAATGATTATGTAATTCACAGCGTTGTGGATCCCTGTCCGGTGCTAGCCTCTTTCTCAATATCGACCCACATTTCATTCAGATGCGTCGCGTTTTGTCTGGGTCGAGGGAGGGAAGTGCTCCTGCCTCAGCAGCTCACGCATCGCGCCTCTGCATTTCCATCTTCAACACGATCCTCTCTAAACCCCGCTTCTACACCTGCTTTAGGTACTCGATTGAATCCAATTATTCTGCCCAATTGCTGCAACCGTTAACAACCGTCAATTGTTGACCGTTAACCCACCCATTTCCCACCACTCCCCGGTTGTTGCGCGACCACACACAACCCCCATCTCGACTCGGCGCGCACGAGGCCGACCGATATGAAATAGCGCGACGGCGCCAACTTTATTCCCGATTATACCATGGCGGTACGGTCCGAGTCGCAGCAGGCGATATTCTCGTCCTACGCCCCGCGATTACGCACCTACAACAATGCCCTCCTCCAGCCTGTCCTCCCTGGCGCCGCCCCCGCGAACCCCCTCGCCCGCACCACCAAACGGGGGACAACCATCATAAATTATGCCGAAGATGGGTACGACGACTACGACGACGATGACGACGACAGCAGGCGGCGCCCTACCGGCTTGCGTAGCCTGCGCCGCGACGACAGCGCCACCAAGATCGACCCCAGTGAGAAGGTCGGCAAGGACACGGCGGAACCTGTCGAGGTGCAGGGGATCTACCGGGACTGGATGGGCAAGGTGCGCCCTAACCGGTCTGATGCCCAAAACTACGCCCAGGCTTGCCTCCCGCTCACCCTGATCCCCATCCGGATCGACCTCGACATTCCCGCCTTCACGCCACAGCCCGCCCTCGTCGCACCCGGGCCGGTGGATCCAACCCACCCCTTCTACAAGCCGCAGGAGACAACAGTACCCTACCGACTACGGGATACCTTTCTATGGAATCTACACGAGAGCTTGATTACCACCGACATGTTTGCGACGCAACTGGTCCAGGACCTCGACCTGCCCAACCGCGCGGCCGCCATTCCCGAGATAAGCAAACAAATACGCACCCAACTAGAAGAGTACGCCGGTGTCGCCCTCCACCCTCTCTTTCACTCGCACACGACTCGCGCGAGTGTGCCCGAGCCCTCAAAATCATCAGGACGGCTCGATTCCTCAACGCCAGCACCGAACCCGGCCCTGAGCCGCGCCGACACCCCGATGGGCAGCAACCACGTCCCCGCCACTCCGTCCCGACTCGGGGGCAGGCCGACCACACCCGCCGTTGTCCAAACCGCCCAGGGTGAAGTGACAGCCGCGGCGTCCCCGATGCCCCCGGACGCGGCCGACGACGACGGCAGCCCCGACGACACCTACCGCTGCATCATCAGCCTCAATATCAACCTCTCGTCGCAGGTCTACACGGACAAGTTTGAGTGGTCGCTCCTGCACCCGCCGGGCACGGCCGAGATCTTTGCCAAGCAGACATGCGCCGACCTCGGCCTACACGGCGAGTGGGTGCCCGCCATGACGCACGCCATCTACGAGGCCGTGCTCAAGTTGAAAAAGGAAGCCTGCGAGTCGGGCGGCCTGGTGGCCGGGTGGGGCGCGTCTGCCGCGGCCGCCGCCACCGCTGCTGCGGGCGGGACGCTTCCCGCGGGGTCGGGCGCCAACGAGTTTCCCAACGACGCGGCCGTCACGCGGGCGACGAGGGCGCGGGCTGGCGCTACGACCCGGAGCACCTCGCTGACGACTGGGAGCCCAAGCTCGAGGTGCTGAGTAAGGAGGAGATCGAGAAGCGCGAGGGCGACCGCGAGCGCCAGATCCGTCGCCTGCGGCGTGAAACGGCCCGGTTCAGTAGCAACACGGGTATGGCGGGGGGGATGCCCGCCGGGTTTGCGTTTTCCGGCCTGATTGAGCAGGAGGAGGAGCGCATGGGCCGCGGCGAGCGCAGCAAGAAGAAGAAGAAGCGGTTTAGGAGTTTGTCGCCGGCTGGGAGGCGGTCGGGCACCCCCGGGGGTAGGGGTACACCTGCTGCTGGGGAGGGTTATGGAGGGGGTGGGACGCTGTCGGAGCTGGAGAGGTCGACGTGGCGGTGCTCCCATTGTAGGGTCTGGGGTACCAGCGTGTGGGCGGTCAGGGACGGGCCGTTTGGGCCGAGGGTAAGCCATTTCTCTTTTCTTTTTGCATACCACTCCTTTTCACCTTCCCATCACATTCCCTTTTTCAGTCAACAAAAAAACCCATCTAAGAGAAACCATCACTAACAACCGCCCCCCACCCCAGACTCTCTGCAACAACTGCGGCTTCATGTACGAGCGCGACCGCAAGCTCCCCCGCTGGACCAAGATGCTCCCACGCCGGCGATGCCCGGCCGTTCTAGGCGGGCGGCAAGGGCTCCAAGCCGGACGGGGGCAGGCGGCAAGGGCGCCAGGCCCGACGTGGCCGCGGCAATGGCAGCGATCGTGGCAGAGGCAAAGGCAACGGCAATGGTAACCGGATATGACGGGGCCCTCCCGTCGACACCCCGCAAACTCCGCCGCCTGGCGCGCGAGGTGTCTTTTGGGCGGTGATGACTGCGGGGGGGATCGGTGGTGAGGGTTGGGGGTGTGTGCGCTGTTTTATTTGGCGTGGCATGGTTGGTGGCTATACTACATACTACGGGCAGGGTGGGATTTGTTACAGTGGTGTCGGAAAACTTTCGGGGAAGGGATGTGAGAATGGAGGGGTCCTCTCTTGGTATCTTTCTGTTCTAGAGGCCTGATCGAGTGTGCCCGTGTCGTGTAAGTGTAAGGAAGCAAGCACTGTACCCCTTTTATTGGGCGCAACGGGGTGTTGGTTGTGGTTGGGTGCTGTCCAGGCGTTCGATGGCTGATACACTGTGTACGAATTGTAGTTGGAAGAATAACCGTTCTCTTTATCAGTGGTCCTTACGGGCCTGCCGGCGACCGTGGAACCCGGCCG